ATATAGACTCTTCTGCTCCAAGCCACCCCAAAAACATATTGGCAATGACACAGCCCTCCCTCTCCTTAATGAGACCAACTTTCAACTGTTCTGCACATCAAATCCAAGAGCTTCCTTTTTATGTTCCAGGACCTCCTGCAATCAGTCTGAGACAGATGCTTTCTTTTCTTACTCCTCTTTTCAATCTGCTTTATTTGTCATACAAACACCCTCTGGAACTTCCTTAACCCAAAATGACACTATTTAAAATATCAGCACTAGGGACTTCCCTGGTGGCTCAGTGGTTAAGAATCCACCTGCCAAAGTAGGGAACATGGGTTCGAGCCCTGGTCCTGGAAGATCCCACATGCCACGGAGCAACTAAGCCTGTGTGCCACAACTACTGAGCCCACGTGGCACAACTACTGAAGCCCACGCACCTAGAGCCCGTGCTCCACAAGAGAAGCCACCGCAATGAAAAGCCCGTGCACCGCAACAAAGAGTAGCCCCCGCTCGTCGCAATTAGAGAACGCCCGTGCGCAGAAACAAACACCAAACGCAGCCAAAAAAAAAAAAAAAAATCAGCACTAGAAAGAAAAGTTTGCTTTCCTGATGCACATATCTTTGTACTTCTTTTTATCGGGCAGATTTTCTGCTTCAGTTGATATTTATTACTAGTCATCGTTTGTGCTATTGTTGTTACAAGCTGCTATAAGTCATCTTTAATACGAAGCAGGATGTACACTTCTAAGCAAAGATATTAGAAGTATAACTCTTCCTACTCAACCTGCAAAGTCTACTTCTTCATTTATCTCCTCACCCACCTCCAGCTAGAATGAAAACTCCATCAGAAGGGATACAGGGATTCTCTGTTGGTCCCTGCTGTATCCCTAGTGCTTAGAACAGTGCCTGGCACTTAGCGGTGCTTGGTGGGTACTTGCAGAATGAATGTGGGTTGAATGAATCTCCAGATACCCTCCCAAATTCTGCTCCCCTCCACCTCTTCCCTGCTTAACAGGAATATGGTCAAGAACATATACACTAGGGGCTTCCCTGGTGGTGTAGGGGTTAAGAAACCTCCTGCCAATGCAGGGAACATGGGTTCAAGCCCTGGTCCGGGAAGATCCCACATGCCGCGGAGCAACTAAGCCCGTGCGCCATAACTACTGAGCCTGCGCTCTAGGGCTCACGAGCCACAACTACTGAGCCCACGTGCTGCAACTACTGAAGCCCACGCGCCTAGAGCCCGTGCTCCGCAATAAGAGAAGCCACCGCAGTGAGAAGCCCGCTCCCCGCAGCTAGGAGTAGCCCCCGCTCACCGCAACTAGAGAAAGCCCATGTGCAGCAACAAAGACCCAACGCAGAAAAAAAAAAGGACATATACACTAGAGTGAAACCATCAGAGTTCAATCCCTGATTCACCGTTTAAGTAGGGCTATGATCTTCAGCAAATATTACTCAACTCTCCCCAGCTGTACATGAGGATCTGAATAGCTTCTACCGAGGACCGGGCAGGATAGTGCAGAGAACACACCCGGTGCTCATTGTGGCTCTTTTGTCCAGGTTTCTCCCATTCAGCCAGTGTCACCTGTTCCACCACACCCGCGTGGATCAGCCTTTCTTTCCCCTTCTGACCTGCAAAAAGACTAGACCCTGACACAACCAAACTATTTTCACTCAAATATGAGTAAATCGATAGGCTCAAAGTGAGGGGGAGAGCCTGAGAGCTTTTTTCCTATGAAAAATATGTATGCACTTGACTGACAGAGCTTAAACATCTACTGAGCAGCCCAGGGGCTCGATGTTTCTGTGTTCGCATCTGGGGTTTCACAACTCCTGTCCAGATAAGCTACATTGCCCAAGAGTGCAGTTCTGCTTAGGTGGGCTGCCAGAAGAGTTACTTTTACAAGGCATAAACCAAATGGTCTGTATTATACAACTGAACAGTGAGAAAAAGCTTTCTGTGTCACTCGCTGTCTTCCAAAATTTATGAAAAAGTCCACTTTACATCTTAGGTCTTTAAGGATCTTCATATGTTCTTCTGATCTTAAGAGATATTCTGTAAACTAAATTTTAACCCCAGAGAAACCACTGTCTTTATTGTATATGTTACTGTTCATACACTCCACTCTACTAGAACTCTTTATATGCAGGAAATGTCAACACTGTGCAAATGGAGGTAATTTTAACTCTTGCTTTATTTTGAGTTTTGCTCTTCCAAATAAGGAACAGTGCTCGGTAAATAGAACAAAGGGCAGAATACATTTGGTTTACACCCAGCTTTGACCTGAGGCAAAGATGTTTTTGCAAAAGCAACTCTTTAACACATTCAGGTACTGAAATTTCATGTAAAATAGCTGTCTACATTGAATTCTCTTTATCTTTATAGAGTTTTCCTAACTTTTCTACAAACTTCATGGACACTCCCCCTCCCATAATTAACACTGCCTTTTTTGATGGCAAGTTAAACCTCCAAGTTTTAACTAGTTAGAATTTTCTGAGCATCAAACACGCGCAAGTGGGGCTCATAATTTTAAAACCTGCAGAACTCACAACCACAGCTCACCACAAGCAAGCAAGAGAGAACAAAATATTTTTAAGCATTGCCGTGCCTCACATGGTAAGGCCTTCACTGAAAGAGGTGGTCTCTGCTTTTAAAAGGACAGGTCTTGGGCTTCCCTGGTGGCGCAGTGCTTGAGAGTCCGCCTGCCGATGCAGGAGACGCGGGTTCGTGCCCCGTTTCGGGAGGATCCCACATGCCGCGGAGCGGCTGGGCCCGTGAGCCATGGCCGCTGAGCCTGCGCGTCCGGAGCCTGTGCTCCGCAAATGGGAGAGGCCACGACAGTGAGAGGCCCGCATAACGCAAGAAAAAAAAAAAAAGATATGGAAGAGCAGACAAAGTAGTTAGAAATGAACAGGCCAAGATCCAGAAGAAAAAAAATCTAGAGACATGGGCCCAAACTTGGGGGCTACATTTGCAAGAAAAAAAAAAAAAAAGCACAGGTCTTGGGCTTCTCTGGTGGCACAGTTGTTGTGAATCCGCCTGCCAATGTAGGGGACATTGGTTCGAGCCCTGGTCAGGGAAGATCCCACACACCCTGGAGCAACTAAGCCCCTGAGCCACAACTACTGAAGCCCGCGGGCCCTAGAGCCCGTGCTCTGCAACAAAAGAAGCCACCACAATGAGAAGCCCGCGCACTGCAACGATGCTCACCGCAACTAGAGAAAGCCCAGGCAGCAACGAAGACCCAACGCAGCCAAAAAATTAATTAATCAAATAAATTTTTTTTAAAAAGCGAGGGTCTTCTCAAAGAAATGCCAACAGAGCAGTTCAGCCATCTTGAAATAAACGTCAGCATAACTGAATTAGAGGAACAACTCTCAATGCCCCCATCCTGAACGACAAACACATATTATTATTGGTCATGCCAGCTCCATTTTCTGCAGTCATATCCAATCCTTCCACAGCTCACTGTACACTCTATAGCAAAAGGGAAGTCGAACTTAACAACGGACTTTTTTTTTTAAGTTAATGATTCAGGCAATTCTTGGAATAACTTCCACTTGAGAAAATGCAACTAAGAAGTCCTATCAAGAGATTCCCCAGCTGTTGACAGCTCAACTCTGGAAATTCCCTCCTTTATGCCCATTTCTGACTATCCCTGAATCCAAATTACAAAGTTTAATGACCCTTAAGAGCCCTTTTTGCCTCCAGTGAACTCAGAACTCTGTCTAAATATTCGTTAGGACTCAATAAAAGTTTATTGAATTAAAGGAAGGGAGCATTAGAAACCTAGCTCCAAAAGGCAACTGTCTGCCCCCTCCCCCGAACCCCTCTTCCCGCAGGAGAGGAAACTGGGAGATTTGGAGCTGACAGTCAAGCCGTCCAGGATCCTAGGGGTCTGACACTCGGCCCTTGATGTGATGACAGCCACGAGGTCTGGGCGGTGGTTCCAAAACGGGGCATCCACTGCTCTGGGAAATACTGGGCGCTTGCCAAGATACAAACCCTCCCCCAAGGAGCTGAAACCGGATGGTCGGGAACCGAGTCAGTTCTGTAGGGATCCCAAGGCCTGAATCGCATTCCAGCAGCCTCCTTCCTGTTTATAGATCCCACTCCAGTAACTCCAACTACCAAAGAGAAAGCAGACCTCTCAGAAATATGTCAACACATGACATAACTTGAAAACGCTGTATGTTCACTGGCGCGAGTTGCAACTTGTCGGGCTCACGAGGGAAACCGGCTCACTTTAATTACTCTCTCTTTTTTTTTTAATATGCCATGCCGTCTCTTTCCAGGGCCCCCGCAAATTTCGGGTTACTGAGAACTAGGTAGCCTCGGTGGCAGGAACCAAATCGCGAGGGCGGTTAGCTAGAGGCAAAGAACCAGGGAGCCGACCCCCGCCCCCAGCAAAGGGGCGGCGATTCGGTTTCGCTGCTATTCGGTGGCAGCTCCTTCCTCGCACAGGCGCAGGAAGGAGAAGCCTCGGCAACTCCTCGCAGTCGGCACCAAGTTGCTGGAGCGCTCAGTGATGTCGCCGCGGGGGCCCCGCGGCACCGCGCCGATGCCCTCGGGTCGGCGGAGGGCGCGCCACCTTTGTCTGGGTTTCCTCGCCAGGACGGGCGACGCCTCGACGCAAAGCGGAGGCGCAGACACCGCGGCCGGGTTCCCAGCCCCTACGCGGGGCCCAGAAAACAGCCACGGCCGCCTGAAACCTCCCACTGCCACTGCGCGCACCAGGCGCGCGCGCAGTCCCCGCCCGGCGGCCACTTCCCCCACACGGCCGCCGCGGGTGGGGAGCCGGAGACCCACGCGCTCCCACACGCTAGCGGGCCGAGCGGCCCGGAGCAGCCCGGCTCTCCCAGCGCCGCAGCGCCCACGCGGGTCCCTTCCTCGGGAGAGCACGGGCCGCTGGTCCCTCAGCAAGGCCAGATCTCAGACTGGCCACCGCGTCGGGGAAGGGACGACAGCCAGCCAGACAGCCACCCACGCCCACTGCCCGCCCTCGGCCCTCTCTCACCTGCCTGCACCGTGTCCGAGAGGTCGTGCGCGGGGGCCGCCGTCCTGGGAAATTCCTTCAGTTTCCTAGCACTGAGGTTCAACCCCCCGGAGTTGGCCGCTTCCTCCAACGCGCGCTCCAGCCCCCGGTTCAAGGGCAGGTTGAAGCCCCCGCCGCCGCCGCCGCCGCCGCCGCCGCCGCCTCCTCCGGCCCCGCCGCTGCCTCCGGCTCCTCCGTGGTGCTGATGGTGGTGGTGGGGGGGATGATGATGGGGGTGCAGAGTAGCCACTGACAGGGCAGGGACGAAAGGTTGGGGTTCGCTTCCCGGCGTCGCCATCTTCTCCCGGGCCCCCCACCCCGCCCTGCCGCTCCTGCGGGGGGGGGTCACAGCTTTCCCCCGGGTCGGGGAGACGGCAGCCCGGGCCGCGTCCCTGCAGTGCTCCACCGAGAGATGCTGGAAGAAGGGGAGGAGGGTGTGGGAGGCACGCGGAATGGGGGGGCGGGTGAGAAGGGGAGGCGGGTGAGAAGGGGAGGCGGCAGTGGCAGCTCGGTCTCGAAGCTTTCCTGTCCCTGGCAAGCTGAGGACTGCGGCGGCAGCGGCGGCGGCGGCGGCGGCGGCGGCAGGCAGCGCGCATGTGTCTCCTCCCGCCCCTGCT